TTGTGCCATGCATAGTGCTGCACTAAATATATAGACACTACATATGTCATGCTTCTGTATATAATACAGAGATGCTGTACAAGATTAATTTTTGCCCTGATGAGAATTAAGTGATTAGAACATTTTCTTCTAATTAACTTTGGGAACATCCTCATCTATGCCAAACAAATGAATATGAAGGCTAACAGGAGCTTCACACTATTTTTAACATTCTTTTAAATAAAATAAATCATTACAGTAGCAACTCATCGTATATTTTTAGGCAGGACATGTAGAAAGCATAAAGAACTATCAAATATCTTTTCTAATAGCTTACATTCTTTAAAGTATATATTATGTGCTAGGAAATGGCAGGCACTGCTGAAAACTGGTGTTTGTGTCTGCATCATTAAACAGAGGAGATATAAGCATATATCATATATCGTATACAAACATCTACAGTGTGTACAGTGTAGGAACCCACTAAACAGAAAAATCCTGTGAGTATACAACTTTAATTAGATTAACAATTTTATGTTGCCATGTTCATAATTAGTCACAGGCAACCTCATCTCAAAATTAAGCAGCTATAGTTCACTGGTAGAGATGTAGGTACACTTGTACCTCAGTATTCATCATTAATTGGTTCCGGGAGACACTACAAGTATTAAAAACAAGTACCAAACAAACCAACTGACTAATGCATGAACCTTTGTTTTGGCTGGAAAGTCATGAGACAGCTGACATTAACAAGTTCTAGCTTGCACATCGAGTATCAAACAAATGACAATTACCAGGACAAAATTTTCACATCAAAATGAGTTGAGTACCAAATTTGATGAGTTTCAAAGTAGTTGAGTACCAAGGTGGAGCTGTTATCTACATCTACATAACTAAACAGAAATTAAAGATAGAATCTAATCAGTATCATTGATCATTTCTGCTGACCCAATGGAAAAAGGTGAATAGAAATGTCTTCCTCCAGCTTTCTTTCTGACATTTGGACAGCATAGACAAAAACTTCGCCAAAGAAGACAAGGAGAGAGTCCCATAGCATTAGTGGAAATCCAATACTACAAACAAGTTTGTCTTTGATTTCAGCATTGTCAGGTGTGCCCACAGATATCAGGTTAAATATTTGTAATATTAAGCCTGCTTTGGTCATCTCAATATGATCTAGATAGAAAATTGGGGCTGAGGGTGCACCCCTACTAGTTTTCCTAAACCTCTCTGTGAATTTTGTGTCTGTTGTGGCCTGTACGCGGCCTGTGCAGCTAGTAGCTGATTCAGACAGCAAGGAGGCTGGTGTGGTGCTGCGCCAGCAGCCTGTGCAGCTGGCACTCGAGTCGGACAATGAGAAGGCTGGAGAAGATGTGGTGCCAGAGGCAGGGATTCAGCCAGGGCCTTCAGAAACTCCTTTAAGTGAAGAGGATGACGAGGAGGAGCCTCTTCTCAATGCACGGGCGTGCAGAGCTGCCAAAAGGCAGGAGTGGCTCCTCAGGAGGAGGTCTCCTCAAGAGTAAGGCTTGGGGCTAATTGGCCACTCCTTTAGCCTATTTAGGGAGGAACACAGACTGAAGTAATTTGCAGGGAACAACTTAGATCACATACCTTCGTGTTTTGTCTTGCTTATCTTATCAGCTTCCTGCAAATTGCTTCTGGGCATTCTGCCAACCATAGTAAGCTTTCAGTTATTATTCTTTGAATTCTTGGCAGCTGTTAATGCAATTAATTAACAGCCGTTGTTGTAAAAGACTGGTTTATTCAGTAAACTAAGATTTGAATGGACTTTGTGTGTGCTGCGTTCTTTGGGGTCCATAGCTGGGGCAGGACAGTGTCTTGGAGGCATTGTTTTGCAATGGTTCTGATCAGAGCTTCGCATAATTTAACAACAGGTTCGCCTAGTGCAGAACTGAAAATGTGAGTTGGTATGTGGCTTCCACGCTTGCGTGCAGTTTCAAATACACGGCAATTTCATACATGCGGCTTCCAGCACACTTTCTCAGGCAGCCACGGTAAATAGAGCAGGTGAGGTGCGGAAATCATCTGGGCTGCGTGGGTGGGACAAGCGAGCCAGAGAGTGAGATATATAGGATGGGATAGCACCAGGGCGGGGGGGCGGGCCCAGCCGGTGGTCAGAACTATCAGTAATGGCGAACCAGTCCAAACCGGCAGCAAGCCACCTCTCGTTCTGATCATTTTTGTCAAGACATACCCAGAAGGTGTGCTGGAGGAATACTATTCAACAACTTGATTGTTGATTTATAGTATTCTTCAGAGATCTGTCTTGCCCTATCTACTGCTACATGAAACTGCTAACAGCTTTAGAGTAGGTTACAAATAGTAGACTTCTGAGATTAGTTCTACTCTTCTCTGTCATCAAACCCCAAAGTAGCAATTAGTACCTCTGCATACTGATTAATTTTGATAATGGGGCTGGATGAAAATAAGCTGAAATTAAATGCCGATAAGAAGAAGTAAGAGAAAACTGACTTTGAGGTTGAGGTGAAATATATTTGGCATGGGCTTGCACATCCTTGGAAAGAGCAGATTTGCAGTTTAGGAGTGTCCCTTGATCTTCAGCTGTTATCAGATTTGCTAGTAATAGTTGTGATGAGTGTATTTGCATACATATGGCTAATATGCCAACTGTGACCTTTCCTGAGCCAATCAGACTTAGTGATAATTATCCATGCCTTGATTATAACATCTTGATTTCAGGATTATCCTAAAAGTGCTCTAACATGGCAACTACAATGGTCAAGCTGCAAAATGATGTGAGGAACAGAGAATACAGTACAATGAAAGATCTGTATCACTGGTTGTTTGCTGTTTAATTTAAGGTGCTGGTGTTGACTTTTAAAAGAATATAAGTCTTGCTCTTCAACGATGACCTCAAAACAGAATGGCCCCATTCTTATCTATATAATAATATATGGAAGAAAACCCTCTCTTCTATTGCTTCTTAGTTGTGGAAGTCATTCCCCAGTCTCCCAGGACTAAAAAAAACCATATTTCTGGCCTATCAACTTTAAACTGTTAATTGATTTTAATGATACTAATTTCAATGATTTCAATTCTACTAATCATATACTTCTTTTGAAATTATTGTAAGTAGTCTTGAATGTTTATATAAACAGAAAGGTGGGGTGTACATTTACTAGTCAATAAAATAAATAAAACCTCATATTTGTTGTGGTCCGCCAGCAGCCTGCGGAGCTGGCAGCAGAGCCGGACAGCGATGAGGCTGAGGAAGAACATGGGCCAGTCCTGGAGGCTGGGGAAGGTGCGGATGAGGGCTCTGCGTCAGAGGCAGAGATGGGGTCAGGGCCATCAGGGAGTGAGGTATGGACTCCAAAGCCTCCAGAGACTGATAGGAGTGAGGCAGAGGAACAGGAGGAGCCTGTTCCTAATGCACGCATGAGAAGAGCTGCCAGAAGGCAAGAGCAGCTCAAGCAAAGAGGACAACTCGGGAGTAGGGCCAAGAGATGATTGGCCCCTCCCATAAGGCTTAAAACAGACCAGCAACGGCGTTTGGGCTTTGCCGGAAAACCATGTTGGTAGCTTCGTCTTCTTCTTCAGCTACATCTTGTATTTATTTTTGTATCTGTGACTTCTGAACGTTTGCCAAGAAAGGCCTTTGGCAGTTTGCCTAATTGGACCAAGATTTGCGATAGGACTGAGGAATTTGTGTAGGGAGGAATTTGCTTTAATTTAATTGAACGACGCTGGGAATGAAGTAATTCTCAGCTGTTCGAATAAAGTTTGTTTGTTTTTTCACTGACTGATTTTCCTACTACTTACTTGGACCTGGGTCACAACAATATTCTGTTTCAAGGAGGAAAAGGTATAGCATACAATATACACCTAATAGGCATACCAACATAATAAATTACATTAAATAGTCTTTTGTACAGAAGTGGGCTTCACATAATTTTATTTGCGGTCACAGACCAAAATACAAATATAATTACAAATGAACGTGGGGAAAGTAACATCATGAACAGTTGGCCACCAGAAGCCTTGGCTGAGAGGAATTACAGCATTCTCCTAAATAATTAAATAGTCTTTTGTACAGAAGTGGGCTTCACATAATTTAACAGCCGGTTTGCCTGAGCACCAAAAATGTGAGCGCGCACACGCGTGGCCTTCCATGCATGCACGCGGCCTTCTGCACATGCGCCTTGCTCACGTGCTTGTACATATGCACACGGCTTAAAAAAATGCAGCTAAATAGGATGGCATAGCACTGGGGCGTGGGGGGGGGGGCTCACCCGCAGGTGACAACTACCGGTTTGCCCGCCCCAGTTCAAACCGGCTGAATCCCACCCCTGCTTTTGTATTTAAAAATTACCATTTCACCATATTTCCAAACTGAAAACTATACAATTATTAATCATTTATTCTGCTGAAAATATTGAAATCATCCTATGTACTGAGATAGATTAGAATCTTATTGATTTCAGTAGAAGAAATAATTATGTGAATACCCTGTTTCCCCAAAAATAAGACATCCCCTGATAATAAGCCCAATCGGGCTTTTGAGCACATGCGCTAAAATAAGCCTCCCCCTGAAAATAAGCCCTCCCCGAAAATATTTAAACGCAGAGCTGGAAATCAGGTACGACGGCCAGAGGAGCCCCATCTTGTTCCATGTGCCCCAAAATCATAGGACCTCCCCAAAAATAAGGCCAAGTGCTTATTTTGGGGTTCAAAAAAATATAATCCAGGGTCTTATTTTCGGGGAAACACAGTATATCTCTTCCATTGAAAACAATGTTATTCCAATATAATTTCGTTCGCCTTAATTTGTCTCCTGTATATCAAAACAGATTTTCTTATCCTAGTCATGACCTTCCATTTTTACCTGATTAAAATAATACAGCAGAATAATAAAATATCAAACTTTTAAAATAAAAATGCATCAATTGAATTTATGTTGTCTTATAAGAATCCCAAGACTATTTTCTATGATTGAATTGGATTTACTTTATAACCAACAGCTATGATACACTACTTACTGATGTATAAAGGAATCCTTCTCCATTTAGGGCTATATACAAGCCTGTTTTTACACCCTGGATAGCAACAACTCGAAGTCCCACTGGTATGAGGTTGAACAATGCTGTAAAAATAAAGAAGATCTATCACAGGGAAGCAAAGAAATGAATGGAATAATATTGCTGACATAATAAGCATAGTTTATAGCAGGAGTGGGCAAAGCTGTCTCAGGAATTCTGGGAGTTGAAGTCCACAGGTTGTAAAAGGGCCACATTTGCCCATCCCTGGCTTATAGCATTTTATATACACTATTTATCATGATAGATAAAATAGGTAATAACTGAAATCCCATTTACAGTAATGGGAGCAGTGTTCATAAAACCTGCAACACCAACTGGAGGCCACTCTTCTGAACTGAACGTCAACACCACCACCCCTCTCCCGCACCCCATTTTTGGACATCAAAGTCTTTCCAGGGACAGGAAGGCAATAATCTTTGTTGAAGAGGAAGAGTTGGGTAAAGTTTAAGAACAACACTTTAGCAATTAAAAACAATACTGCAAAAAATTGTCCATTCTTACACTAAGCCATGGCTTACTCAATGGTCATCAGGTTCACACATTCACTAAACTACACCACAGCCATTTACAGTACATTGACTTGTTGTGCAAACCCAGGTCAAATTTTGACTCTGAATATATTATAAGAGAACAATAAAACAACAAAGTTCAAATGTACTCTTAGACTAGTGCAGAAAGCCTTAAGTTACCTTTAAATACATTTGTATTCTGGTCAAATTCTAATTCAATTACTTCTAGTTTTATGTATGGAAATAATGCAGCAAACAAACAATATGAGCCTTGGTAGTACAGTGGTCTAAGGCACCCTGTTATTAAGACAAGATGCCTGCAATTACTGCAGGTTCGAATCTCGCCAGGCTCAAGGTTGATTCAGCCTTCCATCCTTTCTAAGGTAGGTAAATTGAGGACCCAGTTTGTGGGGGCAATAAGCTGACTATGAAGGCTATTTGCTTAACGCATTGTAAGCCGCCCTGAGTCTCCGGAGATATAAATCAAATAAAAATTAAAAAATAAAATAAAATAAAATAAATATGGTACAGCCATTCAATCACATAAACAAAGTAATTTCTCCATCTTGGCAACCCATCTGATACCTCTACTTAGTGGCTCACAGTAGCCCTCCAAATACAATTCAAGTTGTTAGTTGTTACCTATAAAGCCCTTCATGGCTCACAAACATGTTATTTGTGGGACTGTCCGTCTCTAGATCTTTCTGCTATTCTATATGCTCCAGCAGAATGGGCATCCTGCCAAGCCTCTTCTTGAGTTAATGCCATCAGGAGAGATTTAGGAGAGGTACCTTTTCTTTTGTGACACCTGTCCTGTGGAAATACCTCCCCTTAAAAATTTGATCCTGACCCTGATAGTCTTTGAAGACCTGGCTGTTCTCTTGGGGTTTGGGCCAAGATGTTAGATAAATTGAGAGGTGGAGGAAATAGTGATGTACCCTGAGTTTGTATTTGTTGTCTTTGATGATTCTGTGTTGTTTCATTGCTGAGAATATTGTATTGTTTTTTATTACTGTATATCACTCAGAGTTGCATTTCTACAAGTTGAGTGGGTACATAAATCCATAAATAAATAAATCAATACATTTATCTATGCTGAATGTGCTACATTTGAATGTGGGTATCAATCCTAATATTCAGAAATACTATATTCACAAATATATGAAGCATGTGAAAAAGCTGAGAAAAACAAACCTTAGAAATAAGGGGAAAATGTCTTTTATAGATATGTAATCAAAATATTTGTCTGAAATGGTATAAATTGTCCTGCTTAAGCAGGGAGTTGACTAGAAGATCTCCAAAGTCCCTTCCAACTCTGTTATTCTGAAATGTTGATAGTGTAATGTGATCATTCACTTGGTGGGGCAGCAGACTAAATGCTGTTAAGTAACACTAGCTGCCTGCAATTACTGCAAGTTTGAATCTCACCAGGCTGAAGGTTGACTCAGCCTTCCATCCTTTCGAGGTAGGTAAAATGAGGACCCGGATGGTGGGGGCAATAAGCTGACTTTGTATAAAAAAGAACACCGCTTGGGGGGGGCCAAAAGCCCTACTAAGCAGGTATATACAAAAGTATGAAGGCTATTGTTTAACGCATTGTAAGCCGCCCTGAGTCTCCGGAGAAAGGGCGGCATATAAATTGAACCAATAAATTCTATCCATGTTGATTCTTAGGTAGTAATTTTTCTTTAAGTTATTTCAAGCCACCGTAACAAAATCTCCTTTAATTAGATTTTAGCAAAGACTGCTGATTAAGAAAGAAGTATTTAAAAAATTCAAACTGAGGGAATGTTTTCTGGAGTGTTTTTTACAGGATTTATCCAGTTTTTGGCAGATAGGAGTATAGCACTCACTAACCCAGGGCTGTCAAACTCGCATCGTCATGGTGATGTCACGTGATGTATTAGGACTTTTTCCCCCCTTTGCTAAACCAGGCGTGGGCGTGGCCATTGACGCATCCAGCCCACGGGCCACAAGTTTGACATCCCTGCACTAGCCTTACTCAAGAATTGCGATGAGGTAGGAGGGCTCTTCATTTTCTGACGACATCAACAGGAATGAAACAGCTACATGATTTTAAAAATGACATATCAGGAACCATAAAAAAAATCAGGAACCATTTGAAGGCATACAAATGATGGATATTCATTTTGGAATAGTTAACTCTACATTTTGTGCGTGTAAAGGTAATGAATAGTTTCTTAGAGCACTTACTAGAATTAGTGCTGTCATCCTTGGTTCCATCGAGACTTCCATCTGGGTGCATTTGCAAGTAGTAGCCTTGCCTGCAATATAACCTGGTCACTATGCCCTTGAGCTGGGGATCTGAAAAGACAAACATATATTGTCACTAGTCACAATAACTATGATATCTCTATATCTTTCTTTCAGAAATAAAGTACATTAGAACCAGGTGTCATCCCCACCTGACCAGGAAATCAACCGAGGTGAGCCAAGGTGGCACAGTGGTTAGAGAGCAGTGCTGCAGCTACTTCAGCTGACTGCTAGTTCAGCAGATCAGCGGATCAAATCTCACCGGCTCAAGGTTGACTCAGCCTTCCATCCTTCCAAGGTGGGTAAAATGAGGACCCAGATTGTTGGGGGCAATATGCTATTTAGTATACTGTCTTTGGTGTAAGCCGCCCAGAGGCCTCGGAGAGTGGGCAGCATAGAAATATGAATAATAAAATAAAAGAAATAAATAAAAACTCCCCAGGAAGACTAAAACTACTTTTACTAAGGTTGGCTATAAGCTTGCAAGTCTCATTGTGCTGTTCCTTTTTATACATCAGCAATTTAGAGAGGTATCTGCCTGAGCTGCTTCTGAATGTTATCTTGTTATCTGAACTTAAAAACATTTCACCTCTTTTTGCCTAGGTAATGCTTCCTGAATATTTCCAACAAGTTTCATTATTTATTTATCTGCCTAATTTATAGAGCTGACCATCTGACAAGCGTTATTATCTTCTTTCATCTCTACACATGGCTATTCTTAAGGCCTGCTTTTTAGCTAGCATCATCAAATAGCTAATGCAATTTTAGCTCCAAGATAATAGCACGAAATGGGAAAAACAGTGTTTTATCATGAAAGTTTATTTGACCATTAAAAAAAAATCCCACTACAGTTTGTTCAGAATCCCAATTTTCTATTATTTCTGATTACTAATATCCTGTAAGTTGTCAATGGCTTCAGATGAAAAATTACAATAATTTCATGAACATTTTTCAAATCCTATTATGAGGTATTTTTTATGTTGAGATGCACGATGTAGGTTTTTGCACACTCGATTCATCTCTGTATAGAAAAAACATCACAGTAATATCTTATTCTGCTGCCCAATAGAATCGAAAGAAAATTAGCTACATTTTGGTGAAAATGTTTACTTATAAAACACAAAGCACACAGAACTCATTGCCTGGATCTTTGCTTCATGAGATATGGCAAAGTCTTAACACTGGGAAACATACTTAGCAATAAAAAAGACTCTTATGAAATAGAAATACAGAAATACTGGGGAGAAGGTATTTTAATGGAAATAGAAAATGTTGCTTTTAAAATAGAAATGTTGCTTTTTCAAACAGAGGCTGTTTACCCATTTACTCATCTCCATTTCCTAGTACAAAGTTAATTCTATTAACAGCACCTGCTACAGCTCATCAGCTCTTGTTCAAATCCTGTTACTTGTAGGAAATGCATATTTTAAATACTTAAAATACATTTAAGTACTTAAATGTACTTCTAGAAATTAAACTTAGTAGAAAGTATTACAATAGGGTTAGTATAAGTTGAAAATGCTAATAATTAAGATCATGCAATTACTGAACAAAAATACAATTTTCTTTCCCTAGTTTCCATTATTCATTCGTAAATGTGGTCTCATTTGAGTCAAGTTTGATTTCTGACCTTTTCATGAACAGACACATGTCAATTTCTTAATAGTAATACAGAAATAGTTTGCCTTTCTTTCTAATCTTACAGCCTGGTATTTCTTGGTGTTTCCCATTGAAGTACCAATTAAATCTGGCTTAGTTTTTCAAGGCCAAACATGGCCAGTTAGGTGCTTAATTTGTTAACAAAGGTACCATTGGATAAGTTGATTAGTTAATAATGAACACAGTTTTACCAAAGAACATTAAATATTAAATGTTTTCATCTCCCATTTCCATCAAAATCAGTGTCCAAAAAGTTAACAATAAATTAAACCCACTTAAAACACCATTAAGGTCAACTTCATGAAGCTTAAACTTAACAGGCACTTGACATCACAATTTGACAACGGTCTTTTGTATTAGAATGAAGTCAGAATGCAATACTTTAATCTGGTGGGGTTTTTCCCAAATGTTCTCTGAACTTAATGGACCCTCAGTGCTTGGACCACTCAGGCTTACTGCTAAATTGCAATTGCTTGTTGATCTAAGAGCCGTGGTGGCACAGTGGTTAGAATGCAGTATTGCAAGCTAATTCTGATGGCTGCCGACTGCCAGCAGTTCGGCAGTTCAAGTCTCACCGGCTTAAGGTTGACTTTGCCTTCCATCCTTCCAAAGTCGGTAAAACAAAGACCCAGATTGTTGGGGACAACATGCTGACTTTGTAAACCACTTAGGGCTGTAAAGCACTGTGGTATATAAGTCTAAGTGTTATTGCTATTGCTAACTGGCATTCCTGCTCTGGTAAACTCTAGATTTTAAAGTAACTCCCCACAATCAAAAATGCAATTATGAATACAATAAATCACCACTTATCCCACTCGGGAGCCAAACCAGCTTATAAGTTAAAAAGTTTATTTTAAAAATTGACAGTTTGTGCATAATTAACAGGAACAAGAAGCTAGGACTTTAGAATAATTGTGGCTACTTTATGTAGTCAGCAGGAAAAGCCTTGTTGTGATAGTAAAAGTTCACACATAATATTTGAATTAGTCCTTCGTTTCCATTTGAAAATACAATGCTTTTGTGATACAGATTTGCTCAAAATAGTTAAGTATTATTATTAAAAGGACCTACCAGCTAAAGTGCCCAATTTATATTCTATAGAATTTGGTTCAAATTCTATCATGGTCTTGCTCATATGACACAATAATTATTCTGTTACAAACGAAATTGTCTTATCATAACAGACTATTAGTCCATCTGGATCATTTAATTCAATACTTACTGATAACATTCTCTAAGATTAGAGACATCAGAGTGTTTCCTAACAATTTCTGTAGATGCCAGAAAATGAACCCATCACTCTTACATGCAAAACATATGCTAACTTATCAAAAATACCTTTAAATTGTAGTGGCTAAAAATTCATTCAGAAAATGTTTATTTGAGGGCAAGCTTAATAAGATTCTACTTTTCTGCAAATGTTATAAACAAGATTTAGCAAAATTCAGTGTAATTCCATTGTGTCCCATCATTTACATGCAACCAAGATTGTAAATGATGACCTTCAAAAAGTAATTTAACTTAGTGATCTTAGAATATTATATAAATTGATCTTTAACAAGATTGCAAGTCCATGTTATTGGATATAGACCGCCAAAAGGCAATAAAAAGTATTTGTTTTGGCCTGAAACAAAAAATAATTCTGTTTTCAAATCTTTTTACTACTAATTGAACAATATTTTATTTTTAAACTCTTCTAACTATTTTGGAATATTTAACAAAAATATGATAAAGTGTGTGCTATAGAAATACATTTATGGCTCTTCTCATCAGCCATACACTGTGCATTACCCCATGCTTGATATATCCTAGGCATCTAAGGTAGACCAGGTTAGGAAACAGATACCAAAGTAATTCTATAACTCTATTGATGCAGGCTGATATATCAGAATCTTGAAAGCTTTTTTCCCAACTGTCTCTGTACCTCTCTACAACATGGGTGTCAAACTCGCTGTGTCATGTTGCCATCATGTGACGTATCGTGATTTTTTTTTCCTTCATGGAGCTGGCCTGCATGTGATGCATCTGGCCCACAGCCCCCCAGTTTGGCCCCCCCTGCTCTACAATATACATATAACAGCAGTGTGTGTGACTGTGTATGTTTCTCTATGTATGAGTCAGAAACTTCATGAAATAGAAGGAATATTTCAAATCTAAAACTTGGGAAAAAAATTTTGACTTTATTATTAAATATCCAAATATCTTAGTAAACACAGAATTATACAGAAGAGATATGATTCCATGACTGGTAGTTTATTTAATAATTGATATATATTTTCATAATATACATTTTATAAGAAAACTACTATTTAAAAAGGATACTTACTGAGTAGAATAGTGTAGTAGAACTGACAGCTAGTTTTTATGTTGTGTGAGTTAAAAACATGTTGACAAATGGTGTTTACAAAAATGTATATACTGGCTTGTTGTACCAGCCCATACAGGGACAACATATAATTTCAACCTCAATGGAACTGTCTGTATTATTTTTTCTGATCGCTTCTAACAAGAAATACAGAATCTAGATTTCTAGCAAGGATATAATTGACAAGTGATTTAAAATCTCCATTACTCATGGAAGTAAGTGATTCTAAAACTGTCATGCATGGACTGATCTTCCATGAAAATCAAACCATGTAATCCATTTTAATTTAGTCACCCCCAAAAGGGAAAAGATATAGAAGAATGACAGATTCACTTATCACCTTGTTTATAAATTGTACAGAATCTTAACCAATCTGCATTAATATGATTACTAATTTAGAAACATATGTACACCAGTTGATTACATTTCTTCTGACTAAAATAGAACCACAAATAATAAAAGATATCCATATACAATAGTGTCTATAACTGAGAAAAAATAATTTGGAATATTCATTTTTTATATTGGAATTGCCATCAAATTGATATAATTTTTGCCAAATCATTCATCACTATATCAGCTTCATATAACTTCTCATAAATTAAGGCTTTTATCCCAAAACTATGAGAATTAAAGTGACTTAAAGTTGGGCAAGCTAGAAAACAACACATTTTCCCACCTGGCAATTCTAGCTATACAATAGGAATGAATGCAATTCATTTAGCTACACTATTTCAGAAGAAAACCCTTTAGAATTTTAATTTCTAAAACACCTGGGAAAATTCAATAGAAATCAAATGTCCTAGAATCAGTGATTCTCAACCTGTGGTCCACGGACTCTGGGGGAAGGGGCACAATGTTGTCACAGGGGGTCCACAAAGGCTTAAAGAAATGTTATGATTTAAATCTTATGTTAAGTCTTGGTAGTCCATGGCCATTGTCCATGGCCACAAAAGGTATTTATAGAGGATCTGCAGTGAAGAAAAGGTTGAGAACCACTGTCCTAGATCATCCATGAAGAGTTCAG